AAACGCATTGCAGCAGGATATTGTTGAAGCTTTGGTGTGCATCAAGGATTGGGACCGTTCCGACCAACGCTTACACGATACAATCTCACCGGCAAACCAAGAATGGATTGACGAATTTAATAGATTAACTTTTAATTTTCAAGACAATTCTTCTGCTTCAAATTAAATTTTATTATTCTAATTTGTAAATATTTATTTACTTTGTAATTTCTAATTTGTATAGTGTTTATTGTAATTTGTAATCTTGTATAGACTTTGTAAGTTTGTCAAATTTGTAATTCGTCCTACAATGATTGCACTCTTTTTTCCTTACCAAGTTTTTATCCCAATTGGGTTTTTCTTGGTAAGGTTTTTAACGAGGCAATCGTGAATTATAAATTTAAAAATCAATGAAGAAGTAATTTTTTTTATATAGTTCGTGTGTTCATTTCAAATTTTAAATTGTAATATACACATTGTAATTATACAAATACTTATTACTTATTATACAACATAAAATAAAAATATAATATAAAAAAAAATTCGGGCAGCCGGTCGGGCATCGGGCAGGCATCCTCTGCCCGAAGCCCGTCCATGGGCAATTTCGGGTCGGGTCGGGCAGCCCAAATTTTCGGGCATTTCGGGTTCGGTCATCAGGCAAAAATTCAGACTTTTTGGTGGTCACGGGCGGCCCGTCCAAAGTTTCAGCACTAATTGTGATCTAGTAGATCATGTCCTCCGGGATCAAGGGTCTCCTTGGTTTACGCCAAAGAATCCAAGAAGGAAAAAAAAAATTAAATACGTTGTTGCTGCTGAGAAAGAAGAAAATGGAAATGTGGATAGTGTTGAGAATTAAACACCCCAATTTTATATTACCAAGAGCAATAAAAATCCAGAAAAGAAATCAAGCGAAAAATGAAAACGTAGAGGCCTAAGTGTGATGGAAGAAGATGGATCGAAAGAGTGGGAACAAAAATTATAGGCGCTATATGAAAGAAGGTATGTTGAATTTTCCCGGCATTTCGTGGATTTGTTCTCTCTTGTTTCAACTGGAGAAATGAAAGTTATTTCTAGGGTTGGCAATTCGTGTTGTCGTGTTAAGTTTGTGTCGTGTCATGCTCATCAGTTGACACTATAATTCTTGACACGAACCCGACCCATTTAATAATTGTGTCAGAAGATAAAACCCAAATACAACTTCTTTAATTAAAAGGTAGACACGAACACGACATGACCAACCCATTTACTAAACGAGTCATTACTGTGTTATGTTAACTAGAAACACATTTACAACCCATCTATTGAAATCCATTTTGTTAAAGCTTTTAAGAACTTAAAAGAAATTAAAAAAGCCAACAACTTAGCAAAATAATAAACTTAAAACAACAAAACAAAGTACTAAAACAGTAAACAACAATCAGACACAAGAAAACAAGATCAATTTTTACATATCTTTATAAAACAAGTTATAAATAGGTTCATAATTTATCGTATTTGTGTCAACCTTTTTATGACAATTTTAATAAACAGGTTATTACGGGTTAATTTCGTGTTAGAGGGTTTGTGTCGTGTTGATCTTTTATTTAATTGTGTTTGGCAAGTTCATCCTGTTTTGACCCAAACCCATTTAAGGCAAACTCAAACCCTCTAACTTCATGCGTGTTTCAAGTCGTGTTGTGACTCAAATTATCAGTCCTAATTTTTACTGACGGTGTTCGGGTTATGAGCCCATTTGACATTTTTTTCTTTTATAAGAAGATACATTTGCTTAGGATGTTTGATAAATCATGTTTTTGTTCAACTTCTTAATATTGCTACTAAACAATAAAATTTAAGAAGCAAGTTATGGGTTTCTTTGCATAGTAGCTCTGCTGTCATTGTCTAAATTTACTGAAATAATCTTAATAATAGAACTTAATTCTCAATCTATCCATTTTATTATTTGCATAGTAAATTAAAAAAATACATTTTTAAATAGTTATTTAAAAATTAAAAATTTTTAATAAGTATATTACGTTAATTTTTAATAAAATAATTATCAAAACTTTCAAAAATTAAACCATAAATAAGAAATTTAGTAGAAAAATAATTTTTCTCTTGTTTAAAGTAATTTATTTTTTAAAAATATTTTAAACATGATAACTCTATAAAATAGAGTTATTTTCTTTCTTATTTATATTTAAATTTGTTTTGTTCTTAAAGAATTTATTTGTTTTATTTATTTTTAGTTTAATTTTCTATTGTGTTATGTTATTTTATTTTAGTTGATTATATTTAGTTTTTTCTCCCATAATTTTATTAATCCTCAATTGTGTATAAATTAGGTGAAAAGTACAATTTAAAGTTGGATTGAGATTGAAAATACTTCAAAAATCAAAAGCAAATCCGGATTCAGCTTTCTTCTGTGCGGCCCTGCCACTCATGCTCTTCACTGGCCGTCCGATTGTCTTCATCTGCAATCCTACGCGCACCATCATCTAGTTTTAGCTCCAACCCACTCAAAGTTTGCCATGTGTCCACCTTTGTATCAGAGTCCTCATGCCCCTCCTCCTTTTGCTCATCTGACGTGTGAATTTAGAGGTTATTTAATTCACGAGTTTTTGATTTAAATTGAAATGTGACTTTATATGAAATTTTTTATTATAATAAAAAAATTATATATAATTATTTATAAAATTTTTTTATTATAATAAAATTTAAATCAACAAAATAAACATATAGCAGCAGCAAGACCAAAGGAGCAGCCTTGCAATTACTCATCCTTCACCACTTGAGGTCACTAGTGCTAAAAATTTGGGCCGGGCCAGACGGGGCGGCCCGAAGCCCGTCACTGTGGGCCGGGGCCCGGCCCGGCCCTAATCCGTACAAGCCCGAGCCCGGCCCGGCCTTAGTGTAGGGCCGGGCTAGGCCGTAATTTCAAGCCCGCAGGTGGCCCGAGCCCGGCCCGAAAAGCCCGAATAGCCTGGCCTGAAAATAGCCCGAAATGCCCGAATTATTATTTTTTTTTTTTAGGTATTTTGGCCCAAGGCCTAGGCTGCCCAATTTTTTTTTTCTTTTTTGGGTCTTTTGGCCCAAGGCCAAGCCTGCCCAACGGTAATATTACCGTTGGGTGGGCTGACTCACTGCCATGAGGCAGTGAGTCTAATAGCCTTCTTGGCAGAGGCCCTCTGCCATTTTTTTTTTTTTTTTAACTTTTGGCCCAAGGCCAAGCCTGCCCAACGGTAATATTACCGTTGGGTGGGCTAACTCACTGCCTCACGGTAGTGAGTAATAGCCTTGGGCCTTGGCAGAGGGCTGTAGGCTGCAGCCCTCTGCCAAATTTTTTTTTTTTCCTTATGCATTTTTTTTCCCTTTAAAATTTTTAATTTTTGTCTATACATAGTCCCTCTATTAATCTATTTTTTTCACACAACACAATTTTCACTCTCTCTATTCTCTTCTCGTTCTCTAATTTTTTCTCAACTCTCAATTCTATCTCATTAATTCTCTCAATTTTGTTATTTCATTTTTGTTCAAAAAAAAAAGTTTGTGATTTTCTAATCTCTACTCTAGTCTCTACTTCAATAGAAAATGGAACCAAATATATATAGGTATAGTCTTGATGGTGTTGACTACTATGGAGTAGATGATCAAGACATTGAGGAAGTAACAATTCAACAAATGGAGGCGGGTGACCAAGTAGGTGACATGCCACAAAATATCAATATTCAACCGAATCAACCCTCAGAAATGCCGACGGGCTCAAGTGGTTCAACATCATCAATGACAACAATAACAAAACATTCGAGACAACGTGCAGAATGTTGGAAATACTTCACTACACAAGAGAAAATTGACGCTGGAGGTAAGAAAATAAAATTAGCTACATGTATATATTGTAAAAAAATTTTGACAGCAAATTCTATGAGTGGAACTCGACACTTGAGATATCATGGACTTAAATGCGCTAGACTACATCAAGCCAGGACAGAGCCTACACAAACTCAACTTCAATTAAACCCGGATGGTTCGGTAAGTACTTGGTCCTATAATCCTCAAGTTGCTAGGGAATCTTTATGTCGATTTATTTTTGCTTTAGATTTACCTATTAACCTTGGCGATAACCCACATTATGAAGCGCATATTCAACGTGCATATTGTCCTCAATTTCAAAAAGTTTCTAGAACTACTACTAGGAGTGATATGATTACATACTATGAGAAAATGCGGCTTGCATTAATAGCTGAAATAGGTGCATTAAAATTTTCAATTGCATTAACCTCTGATATTTGGAGTGGTAGGGCGAATCAAGATTATTTGAGCGTAGTTGCACATTATTTAGACTCTAAATGGAACATGCAAAAAAGAATTATTGGTTTTAGACTTATTGATTGTTCACATAATGCTGACAATATTGTTGAAAGACTTGTTAGTGTTATTCAAGATTTTGGTATACGAGACCGCATTATCTCTATCACCTTAGATAATGCTACAGCTAATGCAAGGGCGATATCAATGTTGGAGGGACTTATAAACTC